TTATACTAAGATGATTTGACTCGTATCCTTCAACCCTATCATAAGATGATATGACTCGCATCCTTCAGCCCGATCATAAAATGATTTTTCACGCATCCTTCAACCCTATTATAACTCAAGATAATTTGACCCGTATCCTTCAGTATTTGGTCTAGAATGCCTTTGTGAAACCTTTTGTCTACCTGCTTCCTCCATACAATCGTAATTGACACCTGCTGTATTAGATTATATATAGGATATACACATTTATAATAGGCGCAGGCACCTGTCTTTTCCACATTGATTGGTTTGCAATCAATGTTAATCGTTATAAATCGAGGTCAGGGTAGTTGTCATTTGTTCTTGTAGTTGTTCCGTGAGGTTGTCCTGATCTAAGTTGTCTTTTTTTGTACTGCCGTTAGAACCACCGCAAGGTTTGAGTGACGTTGTTTGCAACTTCATGTACGCTACCCTTGACGTGCCCTTTGTTCTTTATCCTGATGCTGAAAACTTCCCCCACCCCCTGTGGACAATGAATAGTTGTATACTTAAAGTGACAGTTACAATGAGTGCAGTAAATATGTATTGGCAGCGGTATACCAGCCTTTGCATAACTTATGTGATGGCGGCAATGCTCATTCGAAGGGGTGCTAGTGTCTTTTAATGATGCATGATGCGGTACGCTGAATGTATTTAGAATTTCGTTAAGGTTTATTACATGTATTAGGCGTTAAACAATGTAAACAAGTAAACGTTGGCAAGTGTTATACTTCACATAGCGTACTGTGTGTCTTTAAGAGACAAGTTTTGTGCCTGGCCGCTGCTCATTTTTTGTTGTTCATGCTTGAGAGTAGGATCAATGAATGACGTCAACAGGACATAGACTGGTTTTGCATAATCTTGAATTAAAATTTTTTTTTACAGTTTCATGATTTTCTTGAGGGTGAGTGCGTTTGATGGTATATCGCTTTTAGACTTCACCTACTATGTTGAGTTGATGACTATGAACGTGACATAGAACTTCACACTTGATATAATTTCTTAATTTCCTTGGTTCTCACTCAAGCATGCTGTGTCATCTGCGACAGATCTGATGTGAGATAGCTAGTGCATAGCAAGAGCTCCATACCTTCTCTATCTCTGTGTCATAAAAAAGGACCTGACATGCCAAGTGATAAAACCATTTTATCATAGCCTGTGATGTAACGAGGTTACAGAAAAATTAACAGGTAATATTTTGCGAGGTGTCATTTCGTTTACTTGCGTCTGAGCTGCTTCTCTGGAATTCACATCTAAGGAGTTGACCTAACTAGACGGTCGTACATTTTGTAATTAAAGGGGCCCCATAGATTCATGAGAAACTTTTAGCAAAGCATAGCTACCTGTCTTGCTCTTGGATCCATGTAATGTCAATTTATTGCATAGGCCTAAATAGGATTGTTGAAGTCCCATCTAAGCAGAGAACCTTTGATTATAAGTGTGGATTAATCTCCACCCTTGAATCAGTGTTTAATGCTTCACTACAAAATGCGAACACTGTTAATTTAACATTCTCCATAAAAATAATAATGGACATTTATAGAGCGCCGGTGGCTGCTGCCAACGGCGCTCATGGCGCTAATAAGCAACGACATCCAATAATGCTCAGTTGAAGAATATTAACCAAATGCCTGTCTATGCATACGTATACTTGGCAACACACTTCTGATAATGAGCACCGTAGGTGTACCCACGAGTTTGCTAACAGAATTTTTGGAGTATATTTTTTGTGAGGGGCAAGTCGACAGAAATCGTCCATGGATTTTATTTAAATAAAATTGCTGTAAAATGGAAACAGTATTTTTCAATTTAACAGCATTCGTAATTTTCGAAGAAGGTGAGGTTTTTTCATGTCATTTTTTTCATGTTTAAGTGCATGTCACGTTTCAAGGAACATTTTATGACATCAGCCCTTGAAAATGTGCAGTCAAACCTCATGGAAGGGATTTTAATTGTAATTACGATTTAGCAATTGTGTAACAAACAGTTTCTAGTGATGTGGAGTTTTAAGATCGTTGTGTTGTCCTTCATTTAATCGTCGAGATAATACTAAATCGATCATTTAAGAGGTTATAAAACATGAAAAGCTTTGATAGAAAATTAAATAGCGATTATGTAAAAAAAGTTATTTGTATACTACTCGATATACCTTTCCTTTCAGGCAAACTAATTACTGAGAATTTCAGGTTGAAGTGCACTGAAAAATTTAAACCTCCCAGAATTGACCAAACTCTTCCCATAAACAGGCTCATCAACTCTGACGTGGTGTAAACATTTCTGAACTTCTAGTGACTGCCGCAAAGTTTACAGTCCATTCATTACGTGTATACAAGAGATCCTTTTAAAACAAACATTAGTATGAGTATCTTTCTCCCTGTTCGACAGTAAAGCTGTTTTGGTTCCCCATTCCCTTCGTGAATTAAATGGCACACAGATAAATGCAAGTCACAAATGGATGAACAGACTCTATGTTCAGAAGTGTCTAGTCTTTCAACAAGATCCTTTACCATAGCATTCGGCTGTCAACACTTAATTCCTGAGATGGCCTAATTGGATGTTGAAAACTTGAGGTTTGACTGCCGGGAGCAATTTTGGAAAAATAACCAA